CATTCCAAAGCACTCTCTGGGGGTATTTTGAGCCTACAACTCCCTTAAACTAGATGTATGATTTCAGACTCCTCCCTCCTGTTTCTCATTCAGTGTCCCCTCTTCCTCTTCCCACCAAAAGGTGGGCTCTCCTCTGAATTCCTTACAGCTCTTTGCACTTGACTCTTATGCACTCAACCTACACTGATGTGTAGTAAAATCATATTATATGTATATTTACCTTTCCTTCTAAGAATGTAAACTTCTTGGGAACAGAGACTCTTCCTGTGTCAGTCCAGAGCTATTTTAGATGCTCAATAACCTTTAAAATTGTGAATCACTCTGTTGTACACCTGAAACTTACATAACATTGTACATCAACTATACTTCAATTAAAAAAAAAAGGTGGTCAAGAATGCATGTTGAGGGCTTCCCTGGTGGCGCAATGGTTAGGAATCTGCCTGCCAATGCAGGGGACACAGGTTCAAGCCCTGGTCGGGGAAGATCCCACATGCCGTAGAGCAACTAAGTCCATGCGCCACAACTACTGAGCCTGTGCTCTAGAGCCCGCGAGCCACAACTACTGAAGCCCACCCGCCAAGAGCCTGTGCTCCGCAACAAAGAGAAGCCACTGCAATGAGAAGCCCGCGCACCGCAACGGAGAGTAGCCCCCGCTCACCGCAACTAGAGAAAGCCCGTGCACAGCAACGAAGACCCAATGCAGCCAAGAATAAATTAATTAAATAAATTAAGAGAAAAAAAAAAGAACGCATGCTGAGGGACTTCGCTGGTGGTCAAGTGGTTAAGAATCCACCTTCCAATGCAGGAGATGCAGATTCAATCCCTGGTCAGGGAACTAAGATCCCACATGCCGCTGGGCAAATAAGCCCTCACACTGCAACTACTGAGCCCACGTGCTCTGGAGCCTGTGCACCACAACCAGAGAGAAGCCTGCGCACCACAACTACAGAGAAGCCTGCACACCACAATGAAAGATCCCACGTGCTGCAACTAAGACCCAACACAGCCAAATAAATAAATTTTAAAAAAGAAAGAAAAAAGAATGCATGTTGACTCAATTTACCTTTAGAACCTGAATCCCAATCTTTTCCCCCAATGTGCTTTCAAAAGCACATTGCTGGGGACTTCCCTGGTGGTCCAGTGGCTAAGACTCCACACTCCCAACGCAGGGGGCCTGGGTTTGATCCCTGATCAGGGAACTAGATCCCACATGCCGCAACTAAGGGTTTGCATGCCGCAACTTAAGATCCCTCATGCGGCAACAAAGATCCTGCGTGCCACAACTAAGACCCAATGCAACCAAATAAATAAATAATTAAAAAAAAAGCACATTGCTGCTTCCTCCAAAAATTAAACATAAAATTACCATATGACCTAGCAATTCCACTTCTGGGTATATATCCAAAAGAATTCAAAGCAAGTACTTGAAGAGATATTTATACACCCATGTTCACAGCCGCATTACTCACAATAGCCAAGAAGTGGAAACGACCCAAACGTCTATCAACACATGAATAGATAAACAAAATGTGGATGATGGTGATGACTGCACAACAATGTGTATGTACTTAATATCACTGAATTGTACATTTAAAAAATAGATAAAATCATAAATTTTACATATGTTTTACCACAAGTGGGGAAAAAAAAAAAAAACCCACGCTGCTCCTTCTCCATTTACTACCCTTAGACCAGAGGCAGCTGAAGTATAGCATTAAGAGTGTGGACTCTGGAACCAGAATGTCTGGGTTCGAATTCTGGATTAGCCACTTAGCATATGTCTAACTTCTCTTTCCCACTGTTTCCTCACCTTTAAAACATAGATTTCATAGTACCCACTACATAGGGTTGTAGTGAAGATTAAACAGATTAATAAATATATAATACTTAACTCAGTGCCTGGGGGGTAGTAAAGGGCTCGATAAATGTTAAGTTCTCTTATTATTATTCAAGGAGACAGGAGGTGTAGTTTGAAAAAGCATTTAACATCATCTATATAAGAATCTACAGAAAATAAAGCTTAACAAACTTTTGGTTGATGGAGTTATCCAGAAGAGTAAGAAAGCCTTTGAAAGCACTGCACTAGATTACTGAATGCCATGGACATATCTTTTAATTCCAACTAAAATTCACAGCCATTAATATCTGCCTCGAATAGCCCTCCAGTATCTTGTCTGTTTGCACTTAAGATGTAAACAGGACTATGCTTTGCCAGGAATTTTATCAAATTACTACACACCACCTTCCTTAAAAAAATAAAATTTTGGGGCTTCCCTGGTGACGCAGTGGTTGAGAGTCCGCCTGCCGATGCAGGGGACACGGGTTCGTGCCCCGGTCCGGGAGGATCCCACATGCCGCGGAGCGGCTGGGCCCGTGAACCATGGCCGCTGAGCCTGCGCGTCCGGAGCCTGTGTTCCGCAACGGGAGAGATCACAACAGTGAGAGGCCCGGGTACCGCAAAAAAATTAAAAAATAAAAAAAAATAAAATTTTTTTTACTCTTTAGGTGAAAACATCTTAATTACAAAATGCAAATCTCTCTACGGTCTCTGACTCTGACAAAACTATAGTATATGATACTGATATTTGGAGAGAGAAAAAGCATTTATGAAAACTTTCCTAATACAGCATATCCAGGCTCTTACTTGAATTCTTAAAGCCTATGTGGGACTTCTGACCCTGGTTCGCCAACAGACACCATATTCTTTTTTTTTTTTTTTTAATAACTAAATTTATTTATTTATTTATTTTTGGTTGCGTTGGGTCTTTGTTGCTGCATGCAGGCTTTCTCTAGTTGTGGTGCGCGGGCTTCTCATTGAGGTGACTTGTTGCAGAGCACAGGCTCTAGACATGCAGGTTTCAGTAGTTGTGGCATGCGGGCTTCAGTAGTTGTGGTGCACGTGCTTAGTTGCTCCACAGCATGTGGGATCTTCCCGGACCAGGGATCGAACCCGTGTTCCCTGCATTGGCAGGCAGATTCTTAACCACTGCACCACCAGGGAAGTCCCAACATATTCTTTAAGGGTATAAATTAGGTCTTTTATGTTTCCCAGCACACAGCATTGCAAATGGTAGGAACAATTATGTGTTGACCAAACTTTCCTCGATGGTAAATTCTCCACTCTTTTCACAAACTTTGTCAGTTTATGGCATCACGAAAAACACCCAGGTTTTCTGCCTCCACACCAGTTCTACCACAGTCACCATAAACCAAACTAAAAAGCTACTGTTGCCATTGCTACTTCTTTAGCTAAGAAGGTGAGACTTAATCTCTTCACATGAGTATAGCACACGGCACCACGCTCTCAGTCCCAACTGAGCAAAGCACAAACCTAGAATTTAACTTCAGTTCAGCTAATTAGCCAGAGGGCTCGCTCAGATATTAGTGCATAAATAAACATATTTGTTCCTTGTTTAATTTCTCATGAAAAATATTGAAAACACAAGTAATTTCTCTTAAGAAAAGATAATGTCTCAACTCAGAGCAAAACCCTCAATTAAACTGGTTCATTAAACTTGGAATGTCCTAAGGCAATTTCCCAATACAGGTTGGAGGGCAACAAGTCACATACACAAGGCTACACTAGTCCTCGATTTCACCCTACTCTCTGTAAAAAAAATAGGGCAAGAACAGTGTTTTATAGAATATAAATAGAAAGTGGTCTAGATGTTCTAACAGAATTACATAAAACAAGCAGACTTTTCAAGAACACCTGAAGCTACCTAAATTGCAACTTATTTATTTGAGAAATTAAATAACAGAACCACCAGTACAATTAAAGCATTCAAAAATGCAGAAGCTGAGGAAATTGGAGTATTTCATTCAAAGTCTGAGTTTTAAAAAAAAAAATCACCATCTTCTATAAAAGATCATTTTTTTAATATAATGTAAGTCCAACCCTTCCTTTTCTAAATTTCAGCCTTGGGAAGAGGAGTTTCCACATCCTTTTCTTGGCTAACTGGGTTTGAAGTTCTAAGGCACCGAAATAGTGGCGAAGCCTAACTACCCACCATCCCATTGGCTCAGAAGAAACCCCGCCCCGTACAGCCACGGTAACCCAACATCAAGGGAACTCCAGGAAAGGTTGTCCCCGGCCACATTTCTAGTCTCTGAGGAGTCTCTGCCCCTCCCCCCACCATCACCGCTGCGGAAGCACGGTCTCAGCACGAGCAGCACTCGACCGCAGACTGCAACGAAAGGACCTTGAGCACCTCGCCCAGATAATTACAACCGAGAGGGGAGGGGCGGGGACCACGATCCCACTGTCCAGGCTGCATGGTGCCATCCATGCTGCACCAAGCAAAGCAGAGACAACAGCTCTGGCACCTGACCCTCGTGCCCCAGGCAAAAGGCATGGCTGAGCCACAAGAGAAAGCCCTGACATCTCCACAGTTTGCAGTCTGGGGGCCCCTCCCACCCAAAAGAGACGTAGGGCGGGGCAGATCTAGGCGCCGCGACTCCCAGCCAGACCGGACAGCGGGCTTTCCCGAGCCCCGCCTCACTTGCCAAGGAGGCGGAAACCCGCGGAAGGGGGAGGACGGCCAGGGGGAGTGGCATCGCCGCTCCATACTGCCCCTCCGGCCAACCGGATCCCGGGAAGGCGGAGGAAGGCGGACTTCACGCCCCCTCCCTGCCGCGCCCCGAAGCCACAAGCGGGAGACCCCCAGGCCGTCCCTTCACCCCAGCAGGCCAGTGCAAGGCCGCCCAGCCGAGGCCCCGCCCAACCCGGGAAGACCGGAGGGGTGGTCGACCGCAAACAGCACTTAACACAGGGCCCAGCCCCGCCCCTTTCTCCACAATCGCACGCGCGCGCCGGCCCCGCCCCTGAGCGGCGGCGCGAGAGCCCGCCCCCTCCGCGCGCACCGGGACTACGCTCTCCTCCCCCTCCCGCACCGAGAGCTACCCCGCTCCGCCCCCCACCCCCCTCACACATCCACACGCCTCCCGCCCGCCTGCTCTACGGGAAGCCGAGGAGGTCAGTCCCCCCCAAAAATACACACCCTCGAGTCCGGCGTTACCCGCCACCAGGCTCCCTGCCCCGACCCCGGCCCGGCGTGCTCTCACCGCAAAGCTGCTTCGGCCGCTCTCACTGCGTGTCCCTCCTAGCATGAACCTCAGGCTCAGCACGGAGGCCCCGAGAAACGCGCGGGGCACAGGCCCGCCAAAGCGGACTGGCAGCCTCCTCTCCGCTAACGAAGCGGTCACAGGCCCCAGTGCCCAGACTGGGAAGGAGGGAGGGAGGGAGGGAGGGAAACTCCAAGGGGGGAAGGGGAGGGGGGGAAGATGGAGAAACCGTCTCCGCCGCCTCTACCGCCGCGGCCGCTTCTCTGTTACCCGGGAAATCCCGCCCACTCACCCGGCCCGCCCCGCAGAAGGAAGACTCAACTTCGCTCCGCACAGGCCGTACTATCCGCCTGTCAAAGATTTAGCCAATCGCTGCACCCTGGCTGCCGACTGCCCGCCCCTTCCCCCCCGGCTGGGAGGGCAGTGGGGGGGGAAAGCCGCTCACCTTCTCCACGCCCCTATTGGCGGGGAGCTTCCCTAACTCAACCCCGCCTATTGGAGACGAATTGCTGAATCCCACCCCCAAGCCGCAACACTATTGGAGGAGGCAGGGAAGCTCTTCACGCCTCATTGGAGGACTCCACATGTCCCGCCCCTTGCCCTCTCAGCTACAGGCCCAACAACTCCGCTCCCGCCCTCGCCAGTCATTGCATTGGAAGGCTACCCCTAGCTCTCTGGCTGCCCCAGGAAGGTAAGTAATCGATGTGGGGTAAAAATGTCCGTGAGATAGTCTCCTCCTACCGCACTGCCGGGCCAGGCCCCGCCCCCAACCATCGGATTGGGTATCTCGACGCCGGTAGGAGCCTCTATTGGCTAGGATGCCCGTCTAGGAAGAAGCTGACTCCGCCCTGCGCGAGGAGGCTGAACCTTAGCAGTCCTTTTGTGGAATGTTTACACTAGAGACTGAAGCGCAGAGAGTTCCAGGGCCTGAAACAGGAGGTGGTGCGGAGCTCAGCAGCGGGAATTCGATGCCCTGGGATTTGTAAGGGAGAGGCAGCAGCATCAGGACCCCCTTACAAAAAATGATAAAGAGAACCTCATCATTCCCATCCAGTTCTCTACAATTTACATTTCCGCACACTGCCTCCTTGTAAACACAAATATACGGAGCAGCCGACAGCTCCTTTCAGTAAGTATAGAATACAGAATTAAGGGCTGGAGACCAAAATCGAGGAATAGCCCCAGGGGTTGTTCAGCCCGCAGCTAGTGGTGGCTGCATACTTCTATCGCCGACACTCCCTAAACCTGAATATGCAGTCCTAAGAGGGCGGAGATAACCAAAATGAGGGCAGGGCCCTAAGAGCCAACGCCCTGGCAAGCCTCCGGAAGGCGGAGCGTGAAGCGTAAGGCACTAGCGATCTCCAGAGTAAAACTGGAGGAATCAAGACTCGAAGAACTGAGGAAGGAGACCAAACAGGCCACGGCATAAATGAATCCTACGCCACACTTAAAGAGAAATGATAAAAATTCCAGAGTTGGGGACAATAATAAGAACAGCTGTTCCCTCCTTCTTGGCCAACGAGTGTTAATGACAGTCCCTAGGCCCTCTCTGTGTAGGTAATATGGCCTTGAACAGAGAAACAAAGTGCTTGCGATACCTAGGTGGCTTTTATTTATTCACTAAATAGGGCGAACTGACGCTGGCCTTGCTTTGGGGGGCGCTCACGGAGCGCCAGGAGGGGAGGGGGCGGGACTAGAGTTTTCCCGCTCTCTTCCGCAAAAAGGCTACTGCCCCAAGAGAGCTGAGTCAGTATCCAAGAGGCAGGCCCCAGGTAACTCACTCCTAGGTCCTACCTTGTCCTCCCTCTGCAATCTGCCGGAGACCGCAAGAAATGAGCGCTGGCAACAGGTGGGCCTGACTCCCAAGCCTCAAGGACAAGGCAGCGAACTGTGAACTCCATGAATAGCCGACAGATGGGAGCTGCCTCGCCGGGAGCTAAGCCCTGCCCCAGGACGGAGCTCAAAAAATAAGTCACACCAATGAAACAAACGAGACCCCCAGGCCAAACCTCTAGGAGGTTACGAAGAAGAGGTAATCATGCAGAACTGACCGAGGGCTATTTTAAATTTGGGCCGTCCTCCGCTCCCTGGACTGGGTGCCACACGGCGCTCCCACCTGGACATCAAGAACCACTTGGAACCCAAGCATAATTGGGCCGCCCTCGACTTTTCTGTCAACAGGGGATGAGCTGCCCTGGGTCTTGCCTAAGGCATCCAGGCCAATCCTAAGTTGCTCAGAGTTTTTGATAAAGCCAAGCAAGGACAGCGGCTGCCTTGTGCTGGGAAGAAAACACACTGCCAGCGTCCGCAGCGTTCTCAAGCTTAAGCCTAGGGCGATTTCCAGGAAGTCGAGAGTCGCGGGAAAAGCCAGGCCACAGGGTCACAACTTTAGTACTTGGCGAGGAAGGATAGACCCCACACCCTCCTCCCAACCCTTGCAGAACCCCGAGAGCTAAGTCCCCCAAAGCCACCGTACACCGTCAACTCCTAACTTCATCGCAAAGGCTACCAGATCTCGAGACTTGGAGAAATCATTGTGTGCCTCTTGCCCCTCCCCGCCCCCCTTGCCAAGGGCTCCAAGCCCGGGACTTCCGGGCGGGAGGACTGTTCGAAGGAGCTAGGCGGGCCTCACACATGTGCTGAGCGCGCACACACGCTAGGGGAGGGGGCGGGGAACAGGGGTGGACTTCCCCCTCCAAGCTCTCTGCGCCGGAGGAGGCGGGACTATCCGCCCCACCAATCAGAAGTAGGGGCGGGACCCTTGCGCCTCACGTAAGCCGCAGGAATCCTCCCTCCGCCCTTCACGGAAAAAAATCTTAGCAACTTAAACTCCAGCCCGACCTCCGATAGGCGGAGCTCGGGAGAATATCATCCAATCAACAACCGAGAAGGAAAAAAGGAGCTTCGCCCAGCCAGTGGAAGACAAGAGAAGGCGGGCCCTCTGGAGGAGCCCGAGATGGGTGGAAGAGAGAGGGAAAGGCCCCGCCCCTCAGCTCCTCTCCGGGCCGGTTGCACAAGCCGTCGCTGGAGTAGATAGTAAACAGGCTAGGCCAAGGAGTGGAGGCAGGGGCAGCCCGGCGCTCCATAAGCCCGGGCCCCTGCGCCTCTTCTCCCGGCGTCGCCCCGCCCGACCTCGGCGGTACGCGCCGGCGCCCCGCCTCCCAGCCCACGGCCGCCATCCCGGCTGACAGGCGCGCCCCCCGCGCCCCTCCCGCCGGCTGATGCATTTCCTTTTCCCGATTCCGAGCGTGGAGACTTGTTTTCCCAGTTTCCGACCTTCACTGCCCCTTTCAGGCCACCCCCTCGTGGGAGCGCTCACACGTCCGTGCCCCCACCCCCGTCCCATCCGCGGGCAAACAGCACGGCCGGGGGAGGGGAAGGGAGCCACCGTCGCTGCCTTGGGGTGGGCGGGGAAGGAGGCAGCTCCATGTTTGCAAGGGGATCAGCTGGGGCCGCGGGTCGCAGCCGCCGAGTTTGTGGAGGTTTTCCACACCCCCAGGCCGGGTTCCAGCGCCGAATGCTGGCTTTACTGCCACGGCCCGGGAGGTCGGAGAGCCCAGACCGGCGCATGGGTCTAGTGCGAGGCGCTGGTGCTCTTTCCGGTGGCCTCCCCCGCCCCCGGCCGCCCCTCCCGCAAGTCCGGCGTTGCCCCCGCCCCCAGAGTCCATAACAACCGCGGGCCCTAGGCGCCCGCGCCTCTTCGGAGCGCGCCCACCGCCCCCTCCGACAAGTTTGCGGACAGAAACAAAACCCTCGGGCGGCTGCCGCCCTCGCCCTGCGTGGTTAGCGGGGAAAGCCGCGGGCCCGGTCTCGCTCGCTAACTCCAGCTCTCGACCAACTCCCGGCGCCGCGGGCTCAGTGAGCCCGGCCGGCTTGGCTCAGGCCGCCGCCCCCTGCCGAGCCCGCGCGCCGCAGCCCGGGCCCGGTTCCAGTTGGTGTATGGAATCTCCCCTTTTTTCTTCTCTACAATAATTTTTTAAGGCATTGCAGGAGCGAGGGGGATCTCCTCCTGCCGGCCCCTTACCCAGTCCGTCGCCCAAACCTACCGAAACCGACCGCTCGGTGAAATAAACTAGGCAGCACGGTCAGCGCACTGGCGACCCCGGGCCGGGCCGACCCCCTCCCCACGGATCCGGCCCGGCTTGGAAACGCACACTGGCGAGCGGGCGGCGCCAAGAGCTCTCCTTCCTGGCCTGCCCCTCGCTCAGCTCCCTCGGCCGCCGGACTCCGAGCCTCCCCTAGTTCCGTCCCAGGGACCGCGGCGCCTACACCATGGCGGACTGGCCAAAGCGACCGGCCGGCAAACAAGCCCCCCAAACCCTCGAGATTGGGGAGACCAAATTAAAAGCAGCTGTTTAACATACCTTCCGAGCCAGGCGAGGAGTACTGAATGGGGGGGAACGCCCCCCACGGGCCATTGGCTCCCCGGTGCTCGCGTCAGTCATACTGGGCCCGCCTCCTCCCCTCGCTCCACCTCTTCCCCTTCATTGAACGCCCCCTCCCTCCAAAAAATATAAACAAATTAATTAAACTAGTCGTGAGCGGGAGGCGCATCTCTGGCAGAGGTCCCTATCTCTGCCGCACCGCCGCTTTGAGTTTCTTGCGGCCCTTGGACTAGGAGACCTCCTGGGACTCAAAGATCCGCTGGGTGGACCCGGAGGAGGAGCTAGCGGGGCTACCTGGCCCCCACTTCCTTCATACACACACCCCATTTGGAGCTGGGCAGAGGGAGGCGGGTAAGGATACCCTACCGACTGGCTGGAATGTCCCGACCCCCCTGTCTGTGTAACCTGTGTCTGGCCCATTCCGTTAAGTGCCTGCCTAAAAATGAGCGGTATAAGCTGGAAGTCCTGTGTTGGGGCAACAGGCATTTGCCCAAGCACCTACTGGGGTAAGGCAGACACATTCATACCGCACCTGCTGCTTGGGTGCGATTACAGAGACTGAATGAGATGCTCACTATGTACCCTCCAAGGGCATCAGACCTAGCTGAGGAGATGCTACAGAAAGAGCTAAGGCAAGGTGGAAAATGTATATGTAATTAGACATCCACAGAAGCTCAGAGCATGGAGATTCTTTCTAGCTGAGGAAAACTGGATGAAGTCTTCATGGAGAAGGTGGCACTCAGGTAGAAATGGAGGGGCAAGTTATTCTCAGCAAAGGACACAAAGAGGTAAATGCAAAGAAACATTAAGAACCATTTAAAGTGTGGCTGTAGTAATGAAACTCAGGGTTGGAAAGATGCAAAGAGCAGAAGACTTTACTACC